AGGGGGTCCGAGGCAGCAGTATTCGCAGCCAGAGGCCAGTGCTTCCCGTGTCATCCATGGTCGTGTCTCCACCGACAACCCTGCCGTCATCGATTGTGTTGGCTCGGTCGTCTTCCTCTTCCCAGGTCACCTCCTGACACCTACAGCCAACGGTCGGTGGGTTAACGTCAGACACAACCGTTAGTTGGCATGGCCCGGGACCAAGCCCACTGAAATCACGTGTCCTCTACTACCTGCCCCTGTCCTTTGAGTGTTCCCTCACCAAGCGAAGTATCACAATGCTGTGGCTCTCAGCCCCACTGTACAGTGAGGAAGAGCTAACAGAGGCGGTCAGGAACGGGGGGAGACATCCGCCTTTTTCAGCTTTCAGCCAGGCGAAGAAGTAGTGGCGAGGAGAGTGGCTCGGTAGCCGGTCTAAGAGAGACAGGTCTGTCTCCTGACCCAGACGCAAGCCCGAGGGGCTAGTAGTGAGGCGGAGACCCTACTTGATGATGAGGAGGTTGATCGCACTTGGCAGCCTCGTCGTCATCAGGCAATTTTCTTCCGCATCATCAGGAGAAGAGGGTGGCAGCTTGGCAGCGAGCGAAACAGTCGTGGGTTGCCCAGGAGGCAGCAGGGTCGCAGCAGTGTCAGTGAGCCAAACGGCCACGGAATAGAACGCACCAGCTCCACTGCAGCCTACCCACCACGGCCAGTAGTGGTGCCGGTGTGCACGGAGGAAGCAGCAAGTCCAGCCAGTGAGTAGAGTATCGGGGCAAAGTTTCCTACTCGGCGGTGTGGCAATTTTTCGTCAAGCCGCCCGAGGAAGTAAACGTAGCCGTATGTCGACTATGTGGCCAGAAAGTCAAGCGTCGGCCAGGGGGCCCATTTGGGACTACAGCGTTGCGGCAGCATATGCACGTCGCCATTTGGTGGCCTGGGAAAACCGTGATAAAGATACGGCTGTTCTGCCTGCCCCAGCCCCCCGCTCCATCACCCCGCTCCGTTACTTGCTCCGTCCAGCCCGAACGTCAATCGCCCTCCATCAGCCAGTCAAGGCTACAACACCTCTGCTGAGGGAGTTGTCGCTCGTTGGCATCTTCCGCTCGTTCAGATGCTCCTTCTCCTGCTACTCCTCTTCACGGATTCCGGTCAGCAGTCTTTCTTGAATCCGTTTCCAAGAGACAACAGGTTTGCGAGCACGCACCCGACGGTGCAAAGGCTGAACGTCCCCTGTCCAAGTTGCTGGTGCTGCAGTCCCTCCCTTTCCAAGTGTTCTGACTCAGCACCTTTTCCGAGAAATGATGGCTTGTGCCGCGCCGCAGTGGAGAGTGCCAAGCCGTCATTTCTTTTTCGCCAAAAAAGGCAGTGCCAGCCCTGCATTCACATGTAGAAGAGATGGTGGGCCATCTTTGAGCATGTCGTTCTCTGCCAAAGTGCACGGCAGCGCCGACGTGTGGAGCTGTAACTACGGTCAGGGACAGTACATGTCATTTACGGCCCACTGGGAACGTGGCGCCGTCACAGCCGCACCAGCAACTTGGAACAGGTCACGCCGCTTTTTGCCTCCACGTTGCACGTCCTTGGTGACCGGGCAAAGATGTCCGCCTCTACCACCTCTTCATCCGCCGTGTCCTCACCGCCACCCCCCCAATGTGCCAAGTCCCATTACCCGACCCGCATATCACATGTGCAGGGCGCAACGGTGTCACGCTGTGCTGCACCTGGTATGCCTTGGCGAACGTAGTCACACAGGGGAGGAACTTCTCAGTGTAATGAACAGAGAAATCGAACAGATGGCTGTCTCCGCGCAAACTCAAAATCGGAACCATGTTGACCGACAACGTAAAAGAACATGAGTGTCTGCTCTGCGTCAAGGAAGGTTGTGCCATGCGCCATGCATGGCTCACAGTGGTTCAATCTGGTTGTCAAGCGGTTCCTAAAATCCACCATCCCACTGCAAGACATCCTTAAAATGTCACGTAAACTTTGCATGCATTTCAGCCATTCCTACACCGCAAAAGCACACCCCCCTCCTGAGCTGGCAGCGGCAGAACGGAATTGCACAGCATCGCCTGATCTGCGACGTTGCAACAAGGTGGAATTCAACCCTACAACATGTTAGACCGCCTTTACGAACAGCGCAAGGCCATCACCCGATTTCCTGATGTTACAAGCGGATAAAGGTACTCCCCTGTGTAACTTTGATGTCAGCCATTGGCAAGCTCATGCGTGACACCTTCCCGCTTTGCTCAGGCCCTTTGAGAGAGGCCACGCTATTCGTGAGTCGGGCAGGACACTTATGGGATCAACGACGTCATTCCTCTGTTGCACGTCCTGGAACAAATGCTGGTTAACAATGGCTTGGTCCAGGGTGCGGTAGACGTGGCGCACAGATCTCAACGCCACATGACCCCTGAGGGGGCAGGACAGGAAGAAGAGGAGGAGGTAAAGGAGGACATTTGTGCTCAGGAATTATTGAGTGAAATGGGTGGGTTTTTTTCCACTCAGCGGACAGGAGTGGAGGAGCAGGAGCATCTGGTAGAGGCGCAGGAGGAGACAGAGGACCCAGACGCACCGTGGCAGTATGCTGTGGAGATGGAGGTCAGGGAGTCCCTCGCATTCCCTGGCACAAATGGCCCATAGCATGCTCGGTTGCTTGCGTAGCGACAGCCCATAATAACCATCAGACGAGGGATGACTTTTGGCTGTCCACCTTGTTGGACCCTCGCTTACCGTTCAAAAAAGGTGGCCTTTTTCACACCTGCTGAGAGGGAGGCCAAAATAACGTACTATAAAAAACCACCTATGTAGTCAGTTGGTCTCTGCCTTTGTGCGCCAACGTCCATCCTCAGACACTGTGGGCCCTGTGCGCTCGCGTTCCGCTGCCATGGCAGCAGGGTTTGAGGGGTGGGGTGGTAAGGAGCAGTGGCAGCTCCAACCATCAGCAGCGGCTGCCTCAGTCTGCAGTCGATGATGAGTAGCTTTCTTCACCAGCGCAGTGAGGAAACTACTAACCAGCCGCAGCAGCAGCACAGCAGCAGCATCAGGTGACCTGGAGCAGGACCTCAAACCAAACAGACTTGGGCCTACTTGGACAGCACCGCTGCCAACCGAGGTAGACAATCCCCTTGACTACTGGCAACGAAACTTGACCTTTGGCCCCAACTAGCTGAATTTTGCCCTTGAAAGGCTGTCATGCCCGGCCAGTAGCGTGGCATCGGAGCGCGTGTTTAGTGCGGCAGGAGGTATTGTAACTCCGCGGAGGACACGACTGTCCACCCAAAGTGTGGAGAGACTCACGTTTGTGAAAATAAAATCAGGCGTGGATTAGTCTGGATTTCAAACCACCATTCCTGACACAACTGACTAAATCCGCCATGAATCATGCCTCAAACATGTGCCACATTCAGGTCTCCTCACACACTGCTGGTGTGTTCCATTTTTTGTCATAGGTGGTCAGGCAGATTACGGCCTCCCAAAGCTGCTGCCAGGCCCCTAATCTGCCATGGGCCCCTATACCGCCTCCTCATGCTGCTGCCAGGTCCACATCTCTTTATGCCATGCCCACACACTGCCACTTTCAGTCCCTCACACTGCTGGTGTGTTACAATTTTTTGACATAGGGTGCTGGCAGATTACGGGGCCTCCCATAGCTGCTGCCAGGCCCCCCTAATCTGTCATGGGCCCCTAATATTACCGGACCTCCTCATGGCTGCTGCCAGGTCCAGAGTCTCTCATGGGTCCCTGTACGGCCTCCCATTGCTGCTGTCTCCCATCGCCACACTCTGCCATGTGCCACTTTCAGGTCTCCTCACACACTGCTGGGTTGTGTTGAATTTTTTGACATAGGGTGCTGGCAGATTACGGGCCTCCTATAGCTGCTGCCAGGCCCCTAATCTGCCATGGGCCCCCCTATATACCGCCTCCTCATGCTGCTGCCAGGTCCAGAGTCTCTCATGGGTCCCTGTACGGCCTCCCATTGCTGCTGTCTCCATCGCCACACTCTGCCATGTGCCACTTTCAGGTCTCCTCACACTGCTGGTGGTGTTTGAATTTTTTGACATAGGGTGCTGGCTAGATTACGGGCCTCCTATAGCTGCTGCCAGGCCCCTAATCTGCCATGGGCCCCCTATACCGCCTCCTCATGCTGCTGCCAAACCGGTCCAGAGTCTCTCATGGGTCCCTGTGTACGGCCTCCCATTGCTGCTGTCCCCTCCATCGCCACACTCTGCCATGTGCCACTTTCAGGTCTCCTCACACACTGCTGGTGTGTTGAATTTTTTGACATAGGGTGCTGGCAGATTACGGGCCTCCCATAGCTGCTGCCAGGCCCCTAATCTGCCATGGGCCCCCCCCTATATACCGCCTCCTCATGCTGCTGCCAAGTCCAGAGTCACTCATGGGTCCCTGTACGGCCTCCCATTGCTGCTGTCTCCATCGCCACACTCTGCCACTCTCCATGTGCCACTTTCAGGTCTCCTCACACTGCTGGTGTGTTGAATTTTTTGACATAGGGTGCTGGCAGATTACGGGCCTCCCATAGCTGCTGCCAGGCCCTAATCTGCCATAGGCCCCTATATACCGCCATCATGCTGCTGCCAGGTCCAGAGTCTCTCATGGGTCCCTGTACCCTCCCATTGCTGCTGTCTCCATCGCACACTCTGCCATTGTGCCACTTTCAGGTCTCCTCACACACTGCTGGTGTGTTGAATTTTTTGTGACATAGGGTGCTGGCAGATTACGGGCCTCCTATAGCTGCTAGCCAGGCCCCTAAATCTGCCATAGGCCCCTATATACCGCCTCCTCATGCTGCTGCCAGTCCCAGAGTCTCTCATGGGTCCCTGTACGGCCTCCCATTGCTGCTGTCTCCATCGCCACACTCTGCCATGTGCCACTTTCAGGTCTCCTCACACACTGCTGGTGGTTGAATTTTTTGACATAGGGTGCTGGCAGATTACGGGCCTCCCATAGCTGCTGCCAGGCCCCTAATCTGCCATAGGCCCCTATATACCGCCTCCTCATGCTGCTGCCAGGTCCAGAGTCTCTCATGGGTCCCTGTACGGCCTCCCATTGCTGCTGTCTCCATCGCCACACTCTGCCATGTGCCACTTTCAGGTCTCCTCACACACTGCTGGTGTGTTGAATTTTTTGACATAGGGTGCTGGCAGATTACGGGCCTCCCAAGCTGCTGCCAGGCCCCTAATCTGCCATAGGCCCCCGTACACGACCCTCATGCTGCTGACTTGCAACAGAGGTGGAATTCAACCCTACATAATTAGACTGTCCTTTAGCACAGCAAAAGGCCATCACACATTTCCAGATGAGTTAAAAGCTACTAAAGTGGTGTAACTGTAGTGTCAGCCATTGACACTAGCTCCATGCTGACAGAGCTTGCTCAGGCCCTTTGAGGAGGCCACACGCTATTCGTGAGTCGGCAGGACTATGGGATATAACGACGTCCATTCCTCTGTTTGCACGTCCTGGAACAAATGCTGTTAACAATGGCTTGTCAGGGTGCCTGGTAGACGTGGCGCACAGATCTCAACGCCACATGACCCCTGTGGGGGCAGGACAGGAAGAAGAGGAAGGAGGTAGAGGAGGACATTGGTGCTCAGGAATTAATTGAGTGAAATGGGAATTTTTTTTCCACTCAGCGGAACAGGATGGTGAGGAGCAGGAGCATCTGGTAGAGGAGGAGGAAAGAGGAGACAGAGGACCCAGACGCACCGTGGCAGTATTAGCTGTGGAGATGGAGGCAGGGAGTCCCACGCATTCCTAGTGCACAAATGGCCAGCATAGCTCGCTTGCTTGCGTACCGACAGCCGACATAATAACCATCAGACAGAGGATGACTTTTGGTGTCCACCTTGTTTTGGACCCTCGCTACCGTTCCAAAAACGGTGGCCTTTTTCACACCTGCTGAGAGGGAGCCAAAAAAGTACTATAAAAACCACCTATGAAGTCAGCTGGCCTCCTGCCTGCTGCGCCAACGTCCAGCCCTCAGACACTGTGGAGCCCTGTGCGCTCGCGTTTACGCTGCCATGGCAGCAGGGGAGGGGTGGGTGGTAGGAGCAGGGCACTGCTGGCACAGCTCCACCAGCAGCGGCAAGCCTGCAGTCTGCAGTCGATGATAGTAGCTTGTCTTCACCAGCGCAGTGAGGAAACTACTAACCAGCCGCATGGCCCATAGCAGCAGCAGCAGCAGCTGCATCAGGTGGACCTGGAGCAGGACCTCAAATCAACAGGCTTAGCCTACTTGGACAGCACCCTGCCAACCGAGGTAGACAATCCCCTTTTTTGTCTACTGGGGCAACGAAACTTGACCTTTGGCCCCAACTAGCTGAATTTGCCCTGTGAAAGGCTGCCCTGCCGGCCAGTAATCTGGCATCGGAGCGCGTGTTTACTGCAGGAGGTATTGTAACTCCGCGGAGGACACGACTGTCCACCCAAAGTGTGGAGAGACTCACGTTTGTTAGGAAAATGAATCAGGCATGGGTTAGTCTGGATTTCAAACCATTGCTGACACAACTGACTAAATCCCCATGAATCATGCCCCAAACATGTGCCACTTTCAGGTCTCCTCACACTGCTGGTGTGTTCCAATTTTTTGTCATAGGGTGCTGGCAGATTACGGGCCTCCCATAGCTGCTGCCATGCCCCTAATCTGCCATGGGCCCCTATACCGCCTCCTCATGCTGCTGCCAAGTCCAGAGTCTGTCATGGGTCCCTGTACGGCCTCCCATTGCTCCCACTCTGCCATGTGCCACTTTGAGGTCTCCTCACACTCCTGCTGTTTTCCATTTTGTCATAGGTTGCTGGCAGATTACAGGCCTCCCATAGGTGCTGTCAGGCCCCAAATCTGCCATGGGCCCCCGTACCGCCTCGTCACGCTGCTGCTGGGTCCACAGTGTGACATGGGTCCCTGTACCGCCTCCCATTGCTCCCACTCTGCCATGAGCCACTTTGAGGTCTCCTCACACTCCTGCTGGTTTCCATTTTGTCATAGGTTGCTGTATGGCCTCCCATTGCTGCTGCCTCCACCGCCACACTGTGGCTCCAAACACTGGTTTTGGCCCCGTGACTGGCCAAATGAGTGAAGTGTGCGGTGATTCTAAGATCGACGGCACTCATCTGCATGTCATACTGACTGACAGTATTATTTCTCTTCCCCAGCAGACTCCAAGGGCATTTAAATTAAAGGTACAGTGTTCTGCACTAATATTAAGTCTCTCTGAAGCCTAGAAACACCCTTTTTTAAGTTAAATTCACAGCGAATATATTCGACTCGAATCGAATATTGTCCACGAATTCGCCGAATCAGTCGAATCGAATTTTTGAATACTTCGCTCATCTCTAGAAGGCGCCTCTAAGTGCAGTATTGACAATTTATTTAGTAAACAATGGAAAATTTGCACTTACAAGATAAATGGTTAAAAAGACTCATTGTGTGGTAATTAGATACAGGTGGGACATCCAGCCGTCCAGCAGCAAACTATGCCTATAGGATCAGGAAGTAGAGTCCAGGATGTGCCTGTGCATCAAAAATGAAGCTTGGAGAGCAGAGTCAGATGTAGCAGGGGAAGGGGGCGGTAATGCATTGTGGAGCATGCACAATAGCTCCTTCTTCAGAGGCCTGCCAGGGGTATGTTCTTCACAAGCATTTCAGCCTGGTGATCATGTCACAGGATTTAAAGACTTAAATCTAGGAGTGGATAAACCACCTGTACAGAGATGTCTGGGTTTACAGTGGAAGTTATTGAATACTCATTTAATGCTCAAGTTAGCTCTACAGATAAACCTTTTTCCAAACCTGGTGTTCTTTAAGTGGTGAATAGCCTGTATGATCCACTGGGGTTCATAGCTCCTATCACCATACAAGACAAATCCTTTCCTAAGACAGTTATCAGAGACTACTAAGGAATATGACTCTCCACTATCAATTGACAAACAATCAAAATGGGAACCATGGAAACAAACTCTACATGCCTTAGATGGGATCCACAAATCATGTTGCTACACTTATATTTCCCTTGCTACAATTCAGAGAAAGGAGAGTCTCACTTTCTCAGATGTAGTCACTGAGGCAACAGCATAGCATATTGCATACCTCAAAGTGATAGACCCTTGTAGTCAAAGCCATTTTGAGTTTCTGCTTGGCAAAGCCAATTTAACACCTAAGCCTGAGCATACAACTCCTAGACTCTGTGGGACTGTGCTACCTGTAGAAATAGCAGATACTGATTAATAGACATCCAGACAGACAACATTTGTTCTGGGCTATACTGTATATAGAGCCAGACAAAATGCTTCTACGTCTAGCAATAGAGTGAAAAGAATTAGGAAATCCTCCAAGACTGAACAATGGCATTATGCTCCACTGGGAATCAATCTGCAGATCTTGCCAACAGGCCAGTGTGCACAGGTGTCCTTTGCAAATTCTTCCTGGTCAACAGGTCCAGCTTTCCTGCTGGATCACACAGTAGAAACATCAACCTCTAATTTCTTCTGTCTCTTAGACATGACAAAGATCCAGAGATCCATCCAGAAGTCAATCCAAATATACAAGTTGGACACCTTGTCCTGCACAGAAAGCTGAAAGAATGGACTGACCCATAGGATTCACTCCTAATGACAGCAAGGTACACAATGTACAAGTGAAGGTCACAAGACAACATACTTTAAAGAATTTTCTTCAGACCTGTCACAGAACCTTTACTACTCCTATCCTTTGGGGACTGAACTTTTTGTACTTGATGGAGAGATTTTCTGACACCTTATAGTAGAATGTGTCAAGAACATTTAGCCGAACTTGGACTGCATAACACTCACTTGCATTAATAGTGTCTTAACATTTGTTTAATTATATGCTTGTTTTTCTCTTATTGTCTTTCAGGTTTAGAGACATCATCTGCAAATTGCACTTTGCATATATACTCACCTGCCACTTTAATAGGTACAACTTGCTAGTGCCAAGAAAATATCCCCCACACCATTACACCACCAGCAGACTGAACAATTGATACAAGGCAGGATGGATCCATGCTTTCATGTTGTTCATGCCAAATTCTGACCCTACCATATGAATGTCGCAGCAAACAGTCTGCCCATTCTCCTCTGACCTGTGACATCAACAAGGCATTTTCTTCCACACAATTGCCGCTCTCTGTAAACCCTAGAGATGGTTGTGTTTAAACATCCCAGTAGATCAGCAGTTTTTTAAATGCTCAGACCACCCAGTCTGGTACCAACACCCATGCCACATTCATAGTCACTTAAATCTTCCCCATTCTGATGCTTGTTTTCAACCTCAGCAAGTGGTCTTCACCACATCTAGATGCCCCATCCTTCCCCTTCCTTTTACAGGATGTGATCTGTCAATCCTGCTCATTTGGCAGCACTCTATGTATAGGGTGGGTGGAGCCTAGGAGGGTGGAAATGTTTAACTTGAAGAGTAAGGCTGAAGTAAACTAGTGGAGAAATGTTCAGTTGCCCCACATGGGCTTCCCTAGCTTTGGGCCTTGTCATACCAGATATACAGCGCTGACCTAAAAGGAACAAAACTTGAAAATGTATCAAAGATATGGGTTTACTGGATAAACATCTAAAGTGTCTTTATTGCCTTGCCAATGTTTGGAAAGTTTTACTATTTATTGGCAAGTAAAAATACTGGACTTTGCTTCTGGCTGGAGAATGTTATTCAAGAAGATGCCTGACACCTGAAAGTGTGTAATGTGGGCCAGTACAGAGGCTGCAGGCAGCTGGATGGGTTAAACTCATAATGTATTCCACAAAGTGCTGGTGGATAGCATCCTGAATAGAGATTACAAGATCTAAACTTGGTTGACATGTGAGCTGTGTTATTCATGTCGCCCTCCTGGCGGTGAAAAGAAGACCCCTCTACACGGGCCAGGTAACTTGGGACCCTGTGTGACATAGGAACCAGGGGTTCAGATGGACTGGTTTTACACTGACATGGAACCACAGAGAAATGCAATTCCCTGTTAAATAAGCACTTTCAACCACTTGTGGGTCAGTGCTAATGGACCAGGGGGATTTGTTGCAGAGGTTTCCAAGCAACTATCTATATACAAGTTAACAGATAGCTCAGGTTTGTCTGGGATGTTGGGCAGTTCTTGACTGAGGCAATAGGCCCCTGAATATCCCTGTTTGTTTTATTTACTGTATGTGCTTTGTCTTCCACTTGCTTCAATACTTTGAACAATTAAAGCCCCATTGATTCTAATAAATGGGAGAAAAATAAAATGAGAGCAAAATAGTGTGCCTGGAGGAGGGACCCGATCATATGACCTGTTTAAGGTTGCGTGTTGGAAAGAGCCCTAGGTTTGGTCCATTTCCATGTTCAAACCAAATTATGCTTGTTCGGAGGTTCGGCCAATGACCAAACTAAATGAGTGTTTGACCTGGAACCTCTGGCTGCAGCAGGAAATTAAATATTTAGCAGAAGTATTACTACTGATACTAAATGTGACAGCTTCGAGCTCAGGCTGATTGTTAGGAAGCTGGCGACCAGGAGCTGTCATTTACCAGCAATTATAGTTTTAATGTTTCACTTTAAGCATTATTAAAATTAGTGCTTCCACTAAATGGAATTCCAAATTTAATTCTGTTTTTGGCTATCAGCCTAGAAAATGGCCATTACTGATTTCTAAAACATCAATGGACTTAAGTTTGGGGACCATTAGTAAACTTTCCTAAATCTGAAGTCCCCTATGGTTTGAAAATTATAACATAAAATGACAAATAACTAAAAGCAATCCCATAGATAATAACCCAAATCCAAAAGTGAAACCCTAGCAGAAAATAGAGAAGACTTGACACTACTGTCACTAGGTGTGAAAGGCTGTTGGTTGTACTAATGAAGTCCTACTGGATTTAGCTTGGTCATAAAATGCAATATCAATATGTCAGCATTATTCTATATGAAAATTCTTTTTAGCTTTTAACATTTTCCCCGTCTCTAACTTTTCCTTTCTCGGTTTCTCTATCTCTTATCTTCCCTTGTACTCTCCAATACTTCTCCTCTCTCTTTTGTAGGTGTCTGTCACTCTGACTGACATACTAAATAAAGACTCTAATGAGAAAAAAAGGGTATCCAAGAGGCACTGGGTCTTTGATATGACTTTAAACAATGTAGTGAGAGGGAAAAAAAAAAAACATATGAAGAGTCCACTGGTTCAGATTAGGCTGCTCACAACAGAAAATATACTCTCCAGTGGGTACCTCGGGCCCAGCAGGTCACCAGAAAACAATGTGCATATATGGAAGGAGCGCCAGACAGAAAGATAAGAGTCCAAATTAATTTATTGATACTGTGTTAAAGATAGCCAACACATTTCGAGGGTCAAAGGAGCCGATTGCTGGATTAGGATTCCTGGCCAGCAGTATCTGCATCAGCAGTCAAAATAAGAGGCTTCTTATTTTGACTGCTGATGCAGATACTGCTGGCCAGGAATCCTAATACAGGAAAGCTTTTACTTTGAGTCCATTTAAGGTTCCTTTTTAACTGAAGTCCTGATGAAGGGGCAGTTCCTTTGACCCCCGCAATGTGTTGGCTGTCTTTTAAAACAATATCAATAAATTAATTTGGACTCTTTTCTTTCGGTCTGGCACACCATCTGTATTTGTACGTTGTTTTCTGGTGACATATACTAAAAAAGTCATTTTTTTCTGTTCCCTAACATTCTTTTTTTTACCTTCTTCTGGATCAACTGTGGGTATAGGAATATAACTTTTTTTTTTTTACTGGTTGAACTAGATTGACTTTTGTGTTTTTTAAGCCATATCAACTATGTAACTATGTAACATTTGTGTTTGCTACAATAAACTGATCAAAACTCCTAATTTGTTACATTCCTGTAGTTAGCAATGGGGCAAAACAATCGTAACCTGTGGAGCTCATTGAGAAATTCTCTTTGTTATCTAATGACCCTCTCTCTTCTACTCTTCTCTTTTTAGCTCTGTAATGATGAAATGCACATCT